AGAAATTCAGTGTGAAGCCAAATGAAAATCAACTGTCAAAAAACGCGGACCGCAGARTGAACAAATTTTTTAATTTCAAATTTTTGTGTAATTATTAGTATTAAATGATGCAATAAATCAAAAATAAATACATAATGGAAGCGTTAACAAATTTTTAGGGTGTTAAGTTTATTTTTTTTGAGTGACGCGGACCGCAGACTAAACAAGAAGAGTTTTTCTTTTGTTCGAGTTATTTTTTACGTTTTTAATTGAGAATTATTGTCAAGTGGGAATTTTTAAATAACTCGGACCGCAGACCAAACACCTAGTCGTCAACTTTTTCTAAAAACAAGCTACTACATTAAAAAAATTACAAAAATATTACTCAAAGATAAGATGATAATAATAACGAAAGATAATTACTGAAAGTAGAGAATATTAGTCAGAAGTCAAACGAAAATCAATTAAATTATGAGAACGAAGACCGCAGACTAAACTAAACATGTTTTTTTATAATGTAAGGTTTTATTAGAAATGTGAACTAATTTATAGGGTTTTATAATATTTTTTCTGAAATTAATACTTTTAATAGCAATTTTGAGTGGTGCGGGCCGCAGAGTAAACCAAAACATTGCATATGTTAATGAGGAGATAGTCAAAATGCTAATTGTTACATAACGCGGACCGCAGACTAAACAAACGCTTATTGCAGTTTTAAAGTTTTTTGATATTTTTAAGCTTTATTTTGTAGTAATTAGCTTTTTTTTTAATTTATGCAATTTTTGAGGGTATTATTTTTTTAAATTCCAATTTTTGACATAACACGCCGATCGTAGCCTAATTTTTCATAAATTATTTCGGTTTTTGTTACAAGGATTGAGTAATATTCCAAAACAACATTTTTCTGAAGTAATTGAATTGGAATTTTGTCAAAATGCTTTTTCTTTGTATAACACCGACTTATGTTTAAACGCAGTGTTTAAAATGTATTCAAGGTATTTTTCAATTGCTGAAAACAAAGAAATTCAGTGTGAAGCCAAATGAAAATCAACTGTCAAAAAAACGCGGACCGCAGACTGAACAAAAATTTCTAATTTCATATATTTGTCTAATAAATAATGTAATAAATAAAAAATAAACACATAATGGAAGCGTAAACAAGATTTTAAGGTTTTAAATTTGTTTTTTGAGTTATGCGGACCGCAGACTAAACAAGCTTTTAGACATCTTGTGATTTTGTGTCGTATGAGACGATTTTACGATTTTTTACTAAAATAATTAATTATGTATAATTTATGTAATCACTGTTACGTTTTTATTTTCTCTCTGGAAAATTTTTGATGGTAAACACAATTAGAAAGTTATTTTTACAATTCTATTTTTTTATGACGAAAAATATCAATCAAATGCGAAGACTGTATAATGTAGTGTTGCTCTTTGCAAGATTAATGTCCGACACGCCTAACCTAAATCACCTTTTAGAGGAACATTTGCGTGGTAGAATTTGAGTTTTTGCTCTTCCATATTGGGCTATTACGATCGATTGTAGTGTCATTAAAGTGGGCGTGTTGTGTAATTTTGTTTTTTTTTTTTTCAGTTTGGTGTCTCTGCACTGGTGACGATGTTGATACGAACTGAATACCTGATATCGTCAGAAACAGCAACTGAAAAACAACAGAACGATTGGTCCAATTTTCTAGTGAGCTGGGCCGAACTGACAGGAGTGGTTAGCAAAGTAGCGACACCTATCGAACCAGTTCCGATACAAATTTTCAACAAACATTGCAACCGCTTCGAGAATTTAACACCTGATAAGAAATCACAGTTAGAAAAACACTTTGTTGATTCAAACTGATCAATCTGCTATATCTATATATTTTTACTTTTTATGTTTTTTAGATAGGCGTCAAGAACTGTAAAAATCGTGTATAACATATTTTATTGTTTTTTATATAAAACAAGAATTGAAGTTAGATGTTAAAATTTGTTATCTGTAACAATTCTTGATTGTTGGTTGTAGCTTTTATTGTCATTATGTGTAATTCAATTTATTTTTGTATATTTAGTAATTTATTGGATTTGTTATGAAAATTGCACGACTCGCATCAACCGCTTTTTATTTTATCATGATGTATCCCGCAATTAATTGCTGATTAAGCGGCCGATGCTAGTTTAAACTAATTAAGCTAATGCAAAATATTTGTTTTCAATTGCATTAGTTGTAATTAAAATTTTAGAAAATTAAGTAAATTAACAGAACAAATTTATTTTTCAGATATCTAAATATGTTTAAAAGATATCACGATATTATTAATGCTTTTTGAAATAGATAGTGAATGTCAAACAGATATATGTTAATAAAAAGTTTGACCGAATGCGTTTTTTGAATCACCCGCGCTCGAGTCGCGCCCTCTAGCGACGCTATCACTCTCACTTGACAGCCGCGACATTGTCATAACCAAGAAATTAATAAAACATTACATAAAAAACGCGAATTTAATGAAAATTGTGTGTTTGCGACGACACTTAAGCCACGACAAGCGAATTTATTTTAATATTTCGGGTAAGTGCTATTTTTAGACCGGTTATCAGTTTGAAAATTGATGTGGGTGTCAAAATGCATACAAATGGTTATTTTTAGCTTTATTTATTTTTGTTTTGTTATTATTACTGATTGGGGCTCTTCTTCCGGTTGTTTCAACTCCAAAGTGGCAATTTGCGCGAGTTTTGAAACACCAGTGGGGCCCCCTTGATCGATCCTGTGATTAGATTAATTAATCTTTTCGGTCGTAATAATAAATATTTGGTCATTGGATTTAGATTGGCCTATGAGTCACTCTTGACCTTAAAAAGTCCAATTTATCCTCTGGTTAATTCGCGAATTTATTTTCTTTGCTTGATATTAGGACCCCAGCTGATGGGAATATGTCGCATGTGTGACTCATCGAGAGAAATTTTAATGATTGGATGATATCATAATTGCTTTTGCAGCTTTTTGGGCGTTATTTGACCGAATTTAGTTATGTAATAATGTGGGTTGAAGTAATTACACAATTTGCGGGCTGTGTCTAATTACACAAATTCAGTCGCTAATTAATTGAGTTGCTTGAGGTGCTTCCAAATAAAGAATTTGTCACGTTTCAGTGTTACACAACTTGAATTAGATAAGTGTAAACACCCTGTATAAAAAGTGCACATGTGCAAAGTCGTTAACATCTGGGTGAAATTCACTTTCATTTGACTATTTTTAACACTAAGTGTTAACACATCTTGATTGATTTTTGAATAGTTTTGTATTAACGAAAATTGATTAAAATCAAAGGGCGATGTTTTAGCAATGTATCGGTTTATACAGGGCATCGATAAAAGATTGTCCAGTCGGGTTCCGCGCTAATTTCGAGTTTTGTTCTTCGTTCTGTCCGCTTAATTTTGCTTAATTAATTAATAATATTCACCAAAAATCCGTATTTTTCAATACAAATTGTAAACCTACATACTTCTTGCTTCTTTTACACAAACATAAATTTGCATTTCACACTTACTCAAATCCGTTTACTAGCTTTCTGTCGTTTAATTTTTTCAAAGACACAATATTGCAATGTGTCACCTGTCTAATATGTATATTCAAAAGTTGACATATTTCAAAGCCTACAATCAATTATAGACACACTGTATATAAATTTGGGCTGCTTTATCGACAATTTGTGTCAAACTTGACGTTATTTCGTTGTCTACAATTAAGATTATTAACATTTTTTTATATTAATTGATAATAACTTGCTAATTAAGCAAGTTGTTTGAAGTGCTTCTAAATAAAGTTTCAGTGTTACACAAGTTGAATTAGATATGTGCGGCAAACACCCTGTATAAAAAGTGCACGACATGTGCAAAGTCGTTAACATCTGGATGCCAAATACAGGGTGAAATTCACTTTCATTTGACTATTTTTAATACAAAGTGCTAACACCTCTTATTGTTTTGTTGAAAATTTTGAAATCTATTTTTAAATCGTTTTGTATTCACGAAAATTATATGCATTCAAAAGTTGACATATTTCAAAGCTAACAATCAATTATAGATACACTGTATATAAATTTGGGCTGCGTTATCGACAATGTGTGTCTAACTTGACGTTATTTCGTTGTCTACAATTAAGATTATTAACATTTTTTATATTTATTGAGACGCTAATTAATCATGTTGTTTGAGGTGCTTCCAAATAAAGAATTTGTCACGTTTCAGTATTACACAACTTGAATTAAATAGTGGCAAACACCCTGTATAAAAAATTTGAAAATTTAAAAATTTTGGTATTTATTTTTTAATCGTTTTGTATTAACGAAAATTGTTTAAAAACAAAGGGCGATGTTTTAGCAATGTAACGGTTTATACAGGGCATCGATAAAAGATTGTCGAGTCGGGTTCCGCGCTAATTTTGACAGTTTTGTTCTTTGTTTTTTTCGCTTAATTTTGCTTAATTAATTAATAATATTCACCAAAAATCCGTATTTTTCAATACAAATTGTAAACCTACATACTTCTTGCTTTTTTATACAAGCATAGTTTTCACATTTCTCACTTTTAAATTACTCAAAACCGTTTCTACTAGCTTTCTGCCGTTTGATTTTTTTCAAAGACACATTGTTGCAATCGATTCAAAAGTTGATAAGATTAAGTGACATTTCTTTTTATTGCTTTACCAATTAGTAATGACAGATATTGTTTGTTGAAAATTTTGAAATTTATTCGTATTTACGAAAGTTGTTTAAAAACGAGCTGTGATATTTTAGCAATGTGACGGTTTATACAGGGCATCGATAAAAGATTGTCGAATCGTGTTCCACTTTCGTGAAACATGGGCTAAATTATGATAGTTTTGTTCATTGGTTTGCTTTTTTGCTTTATTTTGCTGTATCGCATTTAGTAATATTTACCAAAAATCTGTATTTTTTAATACAAGTTGTAAACCTATTCTATTACAAAAGTTTTCGTTTTTACAAGCATAATTTTTACATATTTTTTTTCACATTTTTTATTTAATTGAGACCGTTTATTAGCTTTTCCATCGTTGGATTTTTTCAGAGACACAATATTGCAATCTGTTATTTGTCACTATCGACATTTTGTTAAATTTTCATCGAAAAAGATTTAATTATCTACATTTTATTCAATTTTAATCGAATTTTTTTACATAAGTTGCCATTTTGAAAATAATAATTGCAACCCAAAAACAAAACAAAATTTTACACTCAAAACACGATTATATTTTTGATAGCACTTTAATTTTTATTAATTATTGCTTTTTGAATTCAAATGATTTAAAAAAACCGATTGGTACCATACTTTTTATATTCACGTTGTATAATCGTCCAAAATACCCGAAATTTCCGGTTTTCTCTACGCCAATCGATTTTTCGGAAGGTTTTACGTATGAATAGTCTCAAATATTATTATTCTTGAATTTATTTTTGTCATAATTATTTGAAAAAAATCAAAATTTGAATATTTTAAAATTTCAAATATACAATATGCGCCAGAACTCGCTTATTGGCTTTTATTGGCAAAATTTTTATATCTTTACTAAATAATTGTAGAAAAACATGTACAAGATCATCAGTACCATTAAATAGATATAAAAAAAAATGTCAAATGTTAAAAATTTTTGACAGATAGAATTTTGCAAACATTTTTTCCATATTCCTGGTATTTTATTTTACTTGAAATTTTTCTCTGGGGCGCGAGTTCTGGCGCACCTGTATTTGTCACTCGTCTCTCGGAAAAAAATAAAATATTATTGGATTCTTATTTTAGTTATCTATCGACGATAACGACATTGATATTTTTGAAATAAAAAAATTGATTTTGACAACTACTTGTCGTAGAACATTTTAACCGTTGATTCTACGTTTAAAAAAAACATATTTTGCGGAAAATAATTCCTGGACCAAAAATGGGGAAATAAGTTTTTATACAATCCGCGCCATTAATAAAAACAATTTTCAATTTATGTAAATGTAACCATTTTTTATTTGTAATTCCATAAACCAAGAAAAATTTGATATTTTCTATTTTTTTTTAATTTATATTTTTTCTAGATCTAGCCAAATTTCATCTTTAGGTGCCAAAACAAGCGTATCCACTCTCATTGTTAAAGGCTCTTTAGTTTTCCAATTTAGCGAAAATTTGTAATTTTTAAGTAAATAAATCAGAGCTAATTTAACTTCCAACAAACCAAAACGTTTACCTAAAACAAATTAATTAATCCCTTGTTATTATCATTAACACAATTGCACCAATACACATCCGGGGGCCTTCTCCAAATGGTAAATATGTGTAAGGGTGTCTCAAACTTTTCTCAATTTTATTAAACCTCTCAGGGTCGAATTTTTCCGGATTTGGGAAAAAATCCTCATCGTAATGTAGAGCGAGAATTGGGATTGCAACCAGTGTCCCTTTTTCGATAATGAGATCATCCTCGTCTGGGATTTTATAATCCTTGACACACTGTCGTGTGACATATAACAGTGGTGGGTATTTGCGTAAAGTTTCTACAAAATTAATTGCAAATGAGTGAAAAACTCGAAATAAAATTACCTGCAATCACTTGATCTAAATATTTTATTTCTGCAAGTGAATCATAAGTGATTTGACAATTAGTCAAAATCTCGTCTCGCGCCTTTTTTTGAATATTTGGGTTTTTGGCAAGTTCGTATAGGGCGAAAGTTAGGGTCGCTGAAGATGTTTCAAAACCGGCGATGAAGAAAGCTAAACAATTAGCGGCGATTTCTTCAACAGTTAGTTGATTTTCCTTCTTCATTTCAATCAATAATTGCATAAAATCACCCCTGACATGGTTATTTTCTTCCCGAAATTTCACAGTGTCAGTAACGATTTTCATGAAGAAGTTGGTAGCATTTTTTGGTAGTATTTTGACTCCGATTTTTTTGGCCGTTTTGTCAAATAATGTGGCTAGAATGTGGACTAAATACTTATATTTGGTCTTATAAACAACCTCGTCGGCGTACGACTTGAAAAGTGAGTTTTCTTCCCTTAAGCCGAAAGCACACGAACAGATCACATTGATGGAATACGCGGGGGAAATCTCGTTGACATTACATTTCTGGTCATTTTCATAATCAATTCTCACTTTTTCCATCATATTTTCCACACATGTTTGGAGTATTGGGTACATTGTTTTTGTTTTTGGTGCACCGAAAGCTGGGTTTAGTTTTTTTCGCAGGGTTTTCCATTTGTGGCCTCCTATATGGACGAGGTTGGCACTCAAAGGGTCGTCTTTTTCGTTGTAATATACTCCACGATCGACAAAATGGTCAAAATCTTTCGTTAGAATATTTTTTATTGAGTCGGGATTGACGAGTAGATAAAGCGGGGAAACCCCGAAGTAAAATCCGCCGTGTTTCCACCCTCGACGTTTCATTTCGTTGTAAAATCGGGCCAAAGTTTTTCCGATTTTTTCTTTCATGAAAAAAGGGTTACTTACGTTTCCGAAAGGAAATTTCGGTGGGAGATATGGGATTTTCCGGCTTTTCCAATAGCTAAATTTCCATTTGTAGAACCAGAATATTGTCAATGTGATGATTGCTAATATTTCGATGAAGAAAATTGTGGTTTTCATGTCGATTGTTGGATCATTAGTGTGGATCAATGGTAAAGTTACAATGACTAAAAACAATATATTTTTTTAATCTTTATTATTTATTTTATGTCACATTTGTGATAAAATTTTAGCATGTAAAACTATATTTGCATATTGTGTGTCAAGGATTCGTAAAAGTGTATGCAAATGAATTTCTTTTTAAATTAAGTTGGCAACAATGAAAAATGTAGAGACAGAACATGTAAATTTCAGATTTGTTTCATATCTTTTGTCTCTGTTTTATTTAGTGTTGCAAATTTGTTTTGGAACCACAGGCAACTTCTAATTAGATTTTTTTATTGTGTTTATATTTTTTTAAAGTGTTTTTTTTTTTCAAGAAAGTTTTGGGTTGTAGAAAGAAAGCTGGGTATTTATTTTTATTTTTCTATTTTATTTAATGGTTTCAATTTTTGTTTTTTTTTTTGTAGAATTCATAAAATTTCTGGTAATTTTTTTCTATTTTGTCATTAATATT